CAGGTTTGACAAAATGTCACAAATGCACAACTTTATTGCAATAGCAGATGTACGTTACGCAAATTGCAGGGTTAATTGCTCCACCTCAGTGCTTCTGCCTACAACCTGGTTTTGCCCTTTAACCATGCCCTGTTGAATGTATATTGTGCCACAAGTGTAAAAGCCACAACCAACCACAGCCAATGCTTAACCCACAAGTAGTCGCTATGTCAACAAGTGTCCAGTGGCACTTGCTTTGCAAAGATGCTTTAATAGATTTCACTGTTCCCCTTTCTGGTGTGACCTCGCACTGATTCTCTTATGTCAGCTCTACAGGTTGAGGCTAAACGGAGAACTGAAGAGAAAGTTGCAAATCTGATAACAACTTAATTGGCAGTGTGTTGTTGTTGTTGTTTCCTGGTCCATTTCCATCTCTGCCTCCACTGTGCAACAAATCATTATTTATGTAACGGTTTTGAAGCAGTTTAATATAACATGCTGTGCTCTGATTTGAATCTGACCCACACATTGCACAGGCAGACGTGTTTTCCGAGGCCTTTCATCTGAACACGTGTCAGCGCTTCAGAAAATGTGTGTTGTGAAATCTTTTATTGTGTTTGTTATTGCAGCACAGCGTTGGTCCTTTTTTATTAACCGCTGTACATTATCCGTACGCCACACTAAATAGAAGACACTGTTAGTTTGCAAAGGGCCATCTTTCTGTCCACTGGGGTCCTTTTGTGAGGAGGAGGAGGAGGGCAAGTAGGACAAGGGTATCATGTGGGATGTGAAAAGGACAGTTAAGTAGTTAGTGAGTCACCCTGGCTGTCTAACCCTCATCTGTCTCCCCTCCTCCTCTGCTCTCACTCTTGATTTCTTTTCCGTCCTTGTCCTGTCCTCCTTCACCGTCTCCCCTTCATTTCCCCAGACTTATTCATCAGCCAAGTGGCCGCTCCTACCACGAGGAGTTCAACCCCCCTAAAGAGCCCATGAAGGATGACGTAAGTAGTTTCACTATCAACCCACTTCTGGCTAAACTGCCACCTACCTAAAATCACTGCCGGGCTGGAAATTGGTGTCAATTAGCCAAATTCAGACTTAAGTGCTTTGACGCATTCTGAATGTATAAAATGTCATTTATATCTCCTATGCCTATATCTCATTTATTTAAAATATAAATGACATTTACTCCAAATTCAATCCATGGAGACTTTTTCATCCTATTAACTCTGGATACGTCACAAAGGAGTAGACGTACAGGAAGTGACTCAGAGTAAGAGATTAAAAAATCTGAGATGGAGATTGTAGCACCATTGAACTTAATGTTTTGTGTGTTTCCTCCATTTGAGAGGATTTCTGCTTGGTAGCGGCACCCAGTGGAGAGAGACTTGTCCTTTAGGTGGGAGTCTGTGATAGATTTATTGATGGGACTAATGTTTTTGCAATGTGATGATGACAGATCAACATTTCCTTTAGTGTTTTAAAGATTACCCATGCTAATACCAGAAGAAATGACCACATTTGTATTCAATAAAGCACAGCAAAGGTCATATCAGGGTTCCCACGCTTCCTGGAAAACCTGGATATTTAGAGAGTTGTTATCCACCCATGCATAAAATCATAAAGTCATAAAATGACCAAATCCAACCATATCCTGGAAATAAATCTATGTTGTCCTGGAAAATTTGAAATTAGCCCCTCACTTTAATTGCGTACGTAAACCTGGGTTAGAGGAAAACTGTTGTAAACTTTAGTCAAATCTCCAAAGACGGCTGTGGTGAGAAAAATGGAAAGTGAGCTAATGTGGAGTTTCTCATAAACTCTGTCCACCTGTAATAAACCTGTGTCACTTCATTATGAACCTTGCATCATTTAAAATAAATAAATGAAGAGGAATAAAACAGGGAAAATGGGTCAATACTACCCTACTGGTAAATTATATGACCGTTTTACATATGAGCAAGTGTTGAACCCTGAAAAACGTCAGGGGTTTTTCAACTCGGACACTTGTGATACAGAATACACGTCCGATATCAGTGCCCTCTTTTTCACAAATTTGAAACTGTGGAAAATTTTAAGTAAGGTAACATGAGGCCGGTGTGACTGACGGAAGGCAACTAAAAGCCAAATCTTTACGTTTTATAATAACATAGACCTCAAATTGTATTTAATGTTGATGCGTCACATCTAGCCAATACCCAGTCCGATTTATAAGGCTAGGTTTGGAGCTGATACCGATCCGTATATTTGTCAAACCATGTGGCTCATCTACAAACAAAGAACACACGGTACCACACAATCCCCCTGGCTTAGAAAAGAGACTGTTATTTCTGAAGCTTCTGTTTCGACTAACACGAAGACGGCTCTCAGTTCAGGAACAACTAACGCGTGTACGAGAAGGAAAGTGAGATGAGAGCGTTGACCTAATTGTAGACACAAATTGAAACTGCTTGCATTGTTGCACTGTAGTCAGTCCTGCTTTGTCTTTGTCCCTCTTCTTATGTATTTCCTCCCTTATTGTCTGCACTAAGGTGACGGGCGAGCCACTCATCCGTCGCAGTGACGACAATGAGACGACGCTGCGCTCCCGTCTGGACGCCTACCACCGGCAGACCGTCCCTCTGGTGAAGTACTACAGTGCCAGGGGCCTGCACACAGCCATCGACGCCTCCAAGAGCCCAAACGTCGTCTTTGCCTCCATCGTAGCTGCCTTCTCTGCTGCCACGGAAACCCCCGCTCGTGCCACCGCCTGTAAAGACCAAGTGTTCTTCATTTAAAAACCTTTTTCATCCTTCACATATCCCTTCCAACGGCTTCTTTCTTCCCTCAAGGGTGGAGATTATACAAGAGTTGATCAAGTGTCACAGTGGCAACAAAATGTAACTTTGCGAGCTGTAGACATGGAAGATGGAGACCGAATGTGGCAACAGCGATTCCACCGGTGTGATCCCTGTTGTAGAAACAGAAAGGATTTAAAAGTATTTTCCTTATTCCTCGTCACAAAATCAAGTCTGAAAGAGAACAGGCCAATGTAGAACTGATCAATAACCATAAAACAAACTGGTGATTAGCACCAAGCTGCAGCTTCTGCCTTTCACCCATATAGACATTAGATTTAAGGTTCTGACATTTAGCGGAGCAGAATGCCGTGTACGTACCAAGAGATGCTTTTCATCGGGAGGTGTTTAAAAATATTGACATTTGTTGCATATTGTTTGCCCTTCGCTGGACAGGTTTGCTCTTGTTTAATCGATTACTTTGCCCTTTTCTCTTCCTCACTCTGTGATTCTCGTGCACATACAGTAGATCTCCTGTTTTTCCGCTATCAGCTGTATTTCCTCTTCCCTTGCGTCCTTTAAAAGTAGAAATGCTTTAGAAGCATCATACATGTGTTGTCCAACCTGCTGCAGTCATTTTCAGTGGCCTTTAACATTATCAAATGTTACAGCTCAGCTATAAAAAAAAAACCTAAGACAGGGCTGCGGAAACGCCAATTAATGAAATGGAATGTGTTATTTGCTTTGAATTTAATTATTAATTATTATTGAGAAATATGAAAGATTTTAATCATAGTTTCTATCAGAGGTTTTCGAGCTGTGAGGTATGCCTCAGGGAGTTAAAGGGGGGGGCACAGGGTGAGAGACGTGAGGCAAAGACTCATGAGTCATCACTTTGCATGAAAGAGAGGGGCGGGTGCAGGTGTTCTGTAAACAGGAAGTTGGTCATTGTAGTTTGCCTCCATGGTGTGACACACAGCTCAGGCAATGGAAAAAAACTGCCTTTGTGCCTGATTTTTCAGTGTGACGTGCACTTTCTGAGAGTGTCTTTATCCCTCATGTGCAGTGCAAATAAATCTTAAGAAATTCACTTAGAAATCGTAGAAAAAGACGCATAACTCCAGAACTTGCTTGAGAATCATCACAAATTGTCTTCAGTATTCAGGGTTTTGTCTGGGGGGGGGAGCCCACATCGGCCTATTTAAAGCAGATTGTAGAAGAGACCACTTTTGTGTCCGTCCATAAGAGAACCTGTTTCAGCAGCAGGTTTCAGTGCTGCTGATGCTGTGATTACTGTGTCCACTGGAGACTTTTCCCCTACTTCTTACCCGGGACATACTCTCCTTTCTTCATTCATCCATCAGTATAACCTACTGTCTTCTCCTCCTCCTCCTCCGCCCCTCCTCTGCTCAAATACTGCTTTCACTCTCTTGGACTCAGTGGATGACCTTTTGGACCTTTGAGAGACTGTACTGGTTGAAAATTAACATTTGATTGATATAGTTGATTGCTAAATCAAAGTGCACTTTACTGTGAAACAGACTGTACAGTGTTGAGTAGCTAAATTATTCCTGTAGAACTAAATGGTGTGTTGTGTCAGCTCCATGTGGCTCAACACCATCGCCTTTTTTTAGAAGGTTTACAGAGTTTTGGTTGCGACATGCATTTGTCTGTTTCCTCCCGATGATACATGTGATTTCCTGTCTGCCGTTACTGGAATTTTATTAGCCCAAACTATTTCTGAGAAACAGGATTTCTCATAAAACTCTTATCAGTGGGAGTGCTGATTATTGACTTACACCAAATATTTGCATGTAGTGCTGTAATTTCGATAATGTTCGATGATGGATAATAATGGATGTGTAAAGAGGCACTGACACAACATTCCCGAGTTTAGACTATAGTGTAATCTAATATGAAAAATGTAAAAGTGTAGTCTGGATCATTTCCCATTACATTTAAGGCGTCTGTAATCGATATGTATCAAATGACAATGTGAAAAGAGTTGATCGTAATAATGAACCTATAGAGAATTACCACCTGAATCTGCAGCTATCCTCGGCCTTACAGAACTACAGAGTGAGTTTCAGCTCATTGTTCAGCTGTCCGGCTGCAATTTTACTGTTTTGGTTGACTCTCACCTCTCTAGTTGCTGGATTTTTGGCCACAGCAACCTTGTTAAAATCCCACTGTATGCAGCTACTAGATGGTGAACACAGTGGAACATTAGACAGCTAAAGAGCCAGATAATCCCCTTAGGAGTTGGTAGAGAGTTAAAGGAGAGTGAATATTGGACTAATGTCAGGCCTGCAGGTGTTACAGGTGGACTCAAACATGACTCCAGAATGAGTGATAATGCTGCTCCGTAACTTACTTAATAAGCGACTGTTAACAAGTTCACCCCATCCACTGAAAAGGTGATGATGTGTCAGTGCTGCCCTCAAGTGGTCAACAAATTATTGCAGGTTAATTATCAGTGGCATGATCTTAAAAAAAAACACTGCACTGACAGTAAGTAGCAAGTAAAGTTGCTTTAGAAAGAGTGCATGCTGGTCACTTTACAAATTCACATACACAATTTATAAAATGGCTTGTTACAAAAAAAAGTCATTACAAGAATTTTGTATTTGATTGTAGAGCACTGGTTGAAGCTAATGTGAACTTTGTGTTTGGTTTTTAAATTGGGGGGGGAATGTGGTGTGTTTTCACATCTGTGTTTAGAGGCCAGCTGTCAATGAATTGTTCAGATAGTGACAGTGAACAGTTAAAGATGGAGTCTGTGCCCTGATTCTCAGAAGTGAACTGGATCGAGCTGAAGGACGTTGGTCATTGTCGTTCAGAAAAATTCCCTTTTCGGAAATGTTTTGATTTCTAGGCTTTTGTTTCTGCTGCTCCCAGAGGTCTCTTTTTCTTTTTCACCCTCTTTTGTTACACAGGCTTGGGTTTACAGTGTTATGTTGTTGTTTTTGTTCCATAGAAATATTCTTGATTGATACGCACTGGCACAGTGTGGGAGAAAAATACATTCTAGCTGTCTCTTAAATTATCCACAGTAGTAGTGATGTGTTTTTTCTTCCCCCTCCTGTAATAACTGACATATTGGAAATGGCAAACTCGGCCTCTGGACACACATGTGATATCGGGCTTTTGTGGATTTTTGTCCTTGAATCCTCTGTTCCTCCTCTGTTCCTCCTCGACCTATTAGTTTCCTCCCCTTCTCTGTAGTCACCTGGTGTTTGTGTTCAGTGGAAACATCTTGCATGCAGACTGTGTCACCTGCACCTTCCCTTGAATACTGATGTGTTTCTATTCTCTCGGGGTTGTTGTGATGAAAAACAATAACAGATGTTCAGTAGTCCCAGTAGGCAGATTTCAGTCTTTTATTCAGCTCAACCAGACAATTTCATGCTAAATTTCCCTTAATATTCTATCCTGTGCTCAGCTTTGGTTCCTTTTTTATTCATCACTTTGTCGAAACCCGACAGAAAAACTGATTTTTCTTTGTTTACCCCTAAATGAATATGACTTTTGAATTTGCACTTTAAAGTGAATGCTGGCACCCTAATTGCACTCAGAGATGGACAGGACTGTTTTTGTATTTTTCTTTGTCCATTGCTCTTGACAGTTCCAGCATTTAAATGACCAGAAAAGTATTATTAGCCATGGCTTGCTGCATTTTCTCTGCAATTCATCCAAAACTTTTCTTCCCCTCTCTCTCCCTTGTCTTCCAGCTGGTTGAATCCTGAGCTGCTCCATTCCCACCGAGGTGAAGGATTGGAGTTGGCAAAAGATCTCGGGTGGGTGGACAGATGGAGGTGGGGGGGGGGTCCAGGGAATCAGAAAATAGTGGGAATCCTTAAGACTTCATAAGTTAAGGTTTGCGGAGCTGTGGGGCTCGTAGTTGAAATACTTATTGTCATATTCCTCATGTTTCCCCTCCTAATAAATGTTGCGCTTTCCTACAATCATAACATTCTGTGCAAATTGTGTTTTTTTTTTTTTCACCTGACTCTCCCACTTTACAAAACAAACGTTTAAATTAACAATTGTAGATGAATATTAGAGGCTTTACCTTTTTAACATGTTGGCTAATTATGATTAAAGACTGACTGTTTGATCCAGTAAGAGGACTTCTCAATACGCCACATGTTGGATTTGTTTTAGTCCACAACTGACACCGGGATAGATAATGTCAGCTATGTAAGCCTAAGGGCAAGTTTATTTGTATATCCTCTTTGAGCACGGCAACTCAGTACTCTTTAAATAAACCAGGCTCGATTTACCAACACAAACTGCCAAAAAAAACCCGGTTCACCGTGTGTCAGGGGCTTTGTGGTATCTAATTACTTACTATTACTAATTTGCATATGGTGCTTTTTCCATTATAGGGGTATTTTCAGATTCTTTGTGCAAATTATAATGAAGCTGCCAAATGTGTGAAACGTACTTTATGGAAATTTTGAGACAAGTGGGGGCCAATAGCCAATTTTTTGCTAATTCAGCCACATGTGGAAGACCTAAAAATGCATTTAAACATGTAAAAGAAACGCAAGGCAACAGAAAAGGACATGAATATGATTCAAAACAAATAAAATAGGAGATAAAAGAAGGGACATTTACTGTTTGAGTAGATTTAATTTTTTATTTTTTTTTAAATATAAGCATGGATTTTAAGTATCAGGTTCTTCCCATAGTGTCATCTGCGCTGCACAATACATAACATCTAATTAAACCTGCAGCAAAGGACTTTTCAACTTGAGTTTGCCAATTCTGTGGAAAAATCTAAGATCATACACAAAAAGTATTCATATTAGTTCTACAGTTAGCCAGACGTTAGTCCAGTTTTGTTTTACCTCTTCGGGCTTTGAATAATTATTGGATGAAACCATGTGAGAAGTTTACAAAGGCAGGAGTTTAATCTTTAACAACATGTTGTATTTAAACTGATTCTATGTATTTTAGTAACTAAATCTTGTCAAATGTTGTGGACTATGGAGTAGCATTAAATGGAAATGCTCGAGTAAAGTACAAGTGCCGCAAAATTGCGTTTAAAGGACCAGTGTGTAGGATTTAGCGGCATCTAGCTGCGACTAACTGAACACTGCTGGCGTCTGGATTTTAATAACCGGGAAATGAGAACTAGATAAGAAACTGCTCATTCTGATGTAACAAAAACACAACTATATTACACACAAATGAAAACATACCTATGGAT